AATAACAATGAAGATCGTTCAAACCAAATATCAAAGGTAATAGTATATCTGTTATTGTATCAAAATAAAGTTTACTAACTTGATCATCGTTCGTTAGTCTGGGGTCATTTTTGGTTGTCAAGTTCGAGAATAGGTAAAGGTAACTAAACTAAGTGTAGAATGTGAAATACTTGATCATCATTCGTCAGTCTGGGTCGTTTTTTGTTGTCAAGTTAGCGAACTGGTAAAGATAGTAAAACCAAGTGTAGATTGTTGGATTTTGTCAGTGTGTAGAATTATGACAGTAGTGTGTGTTTACATAGTGAACTTGCTCACCACATTTGCGTTGATTTTGCTACTTCATGGAGGAGGGTGTTGTAGCCTGGTTAGATTCTGTTTTAGTCCATCATTCCTATTCAGGGAATTTGGATTCCACTTGATATGAAGTGCTCCTGATATTAGACGTTCTCTGTGGTTTCTGAATTTTTTCTGGATTATTTCAATATTGTCAAAATCGATTTTGTGGCCTGATTCTATAGCGTGGCGTGTAGACCTATGGCTGATGATTTTTGAAGTTTTTCTAGTTCAACTGGATTTCTTGGTGGTCGAAGAGAAGCTCTACGGTGTTCATTTCTTCTGATTTTGATTTCTCGAGATGCTTGTCCGGTGTAGATCGAATCACATTCCGAGCATTTTATTTTATAGACACAATTAGATAGAGAATCTTTTAGTTACCTTTACCTATTCCCCAACGTGACAACCAAAATGACCTCATACTGACGAACGATAATCAAGTATTTCACATTCTACACTTAGTTTGGTTACCTTTACCTATTCTCGAACTTGACAACCAAAATGATCCCAGACTAACGAACGATGATCAAGTTAGTAAACTTTATTTTGATATAATAACAGATATACTATTACCCTTGATATTTGGTTTGAACGATCTTCATTGTTATTTTGACTTTCAATATTTCCTTTTAAGTTGAACTAAGTCTATATTTTTTTTCTCACCCCCTAACTCTTTGTTATATATATACTGAGTGGATTTTGTAAATTCCGGTTTAATAATACTACTTTGATAAAGCTATTAGCATTAAATAGCGAAACGTCAGTAAAAACAATATCGTTTTGTTTTTTCATTCATTGGGAAATACAAAAACTTCTATTATAATGAAGCTTTGAAACTTAATTAATAATTACCCTGAAAAATTAGTCAGAAGGTAGCGAAATGTAAAAATAAAACAAATAATGCTAGTATTGACAGTGATAATAATAATAATAATATTAATGACGAAACTCATGTCAAACATGCGCAACATAATGACAACACCAACAATAAGAAATCTAAATCATCAGAAGTAATTCCATATAAGGAAGGAACCTCGGAAACAACCTTTGGCAGAGTTCTTAATAATGCAGGCAGGAGTGAAAGTGGCTGGCATTCAAACAATCCACAAACTCAATTAGAAACAATCTTTTTTGGTTAGAGAATCCCGCCGGTAGAGCCAATTAAACAAAACCTAGCAAAATCTAGATTAGTTGACCCGAACAAGATAAGAAATCTGGAGAGCAGTTCAGCTATACCACTCACTACATTCACTTACAAACAACCAATCATACAATAGAATGGAATGGGATAAGATGACAGTTTCGCAATCAAATATAACAGTAGGGTGGAGGGAAAGATTGATAACAGAAACTTTGTTTGTCGAATCAAGTGAGAGGGAATACGTGTAATAGGAATGATCCAACACCTGTCCACCTGGACATCTTGAAAGTTCTACTACCCCAACAACGACAAATAGGAGAGAACAAATAAAACTATAAAACTCAAGTTTCGAAGTTGTGTGATTATCAGTGATAACATGATTATGGACAGTAATAAATTGCCTTCGGAACTGTGTCATGCAGTAAATAGCAATACTGTTTCACACTGTGTAATTTTTTTTTTTTTTATTTTTTATAACAGCTTCATTCCACACTGTATTTTATTTTTGTACAAGTTTGGAATTTTCGGCGTGGATATCGGTAGGCCAAATTTTGCAGGCCAACCATAGATATCAGGTGTGCATCGACAGGGGATCGAACTCCCGGCCATTTGCATGGTCAGCGAGAGTCCTAACCACTGTGCCACTGACGCAGACTGTTATATGGAATTTGTCAATCCACCAGATTTTTTTATAATCACTGCAATATAATAAAAATATTTTTTCATCAAAGATTTACTTTGATTAGTATGTACAATATTTAAAGTTTCACATATCACAGGTAAAAAATGTGGTGATCTTTCTTATTGTCTCAGCTATAATTCAACACTCATCAAACGTAATTGCTTGTCGGATAGAGTGAAATCTATTTCTTCACTTTCAGGAAGGATGTCTAGAGAATCAGGGAACGCTACGCCTGAAACAGATTCACTGGTAGTTTAAAGTAGTCCTTAGATTATGCCTGTTTCAGCAATATGGGTATAGTCCAGTGTAATTTTTTTTTCAAAAGAGATCTTTGAGAATCAGGGAGTACATGTCAGTTATTTCGTCCAAATTTGCGACTCCCCATCAGCGTGAACCCAAGAACCCATCAGAGATTGGCACCAGGACATTCAAGTTATGAGAACAAGCTCGGTGGTCATTCACCCACTGGAGCCACAATTCAATCATATGTGAAGTCTAATTACCGTCACTTCGTGATGTAGTGCTACAATGTGGTTGATCCCTGATGAGGTCGTGGGTGTGCAGTGCTGAAGAATCTCAAACTTGTGTGATGAGAGCTGACTGCTAGCCGAAATGGGTAGACAGTAATTTACGTAAATGTTTTTACTTACCTACTTACTGCTCCCTTGGGTTCCTAGTGGAACATAGAGCTTCAACTGCACGTCTCCATTTTCTTCTGTCTTCTGCTATACTTTTCGCCTGCATCCATGTTAGTCCATATTCTTTCAACTCCACTTCACACGATCTCCTCCATGTCACCCTTCCACTGACGACCCACACGCCGCTTCCTTTTTGGGTTCCACTCGAGGGCTTGACGCGCGATGTCACCCAGTGTCTCCTCAGTGAGTATCCGATCCATCTCCACTTTCTCCTGCATATTTGTTGGGCGATTGGTTCTTGCTTTGTTTGTTCCCATAATTCCTTGTTGGTGATTCTTTCCGGCCATCTGATCTTCAGTATTGAGCGAAGACAGTTGTTAATAAAGGTCTGCAATAGCCTTTTGGAAATATTCTTTGTGACCCGCCCGCCAAGTTTCTGGTCCGTATAGAAGAACTGACTGACTTGACGTTTGTATTGAAAATCCGACTGAATTTTGTTGTTGATACTGAGCGACGAAGATTTCCGGATCGGTTTCAGGATGATGAATATGTTTCTCGCCTTCCCGATTCTCGATTTGACATCTTCGTCCGTTCCGACTTCCTGTAGTTGAGACAACGCTCCCTAGATAAGTGAGTGAAGTAACCTCTTTCAAATCCCTCCCGTTGATGGTCATTGACGCTGGATATTGTTGCTGCTGTTGTTGTTGTTGGTTGGTTATTTTCATAACCTCCGTCGTATCGATGTTCACCTGGAGTCCTGTCTTCGCTGGCTGCTTCTTTGACCAGTTTGTCGGTTTTCGCTTGTAAGTCTTCGATTGTGTGTGACGTCAAACACAAATCATCCATGCGCGAAATCCAGGTCTTCTAGGTTCTTCACGTTGGTCGGTCCAGGATATTCCTGTCTTCTCGTTTCCCACAGTCTGACGCATAATCCACGGTCAACCACAATTAGGAATATCATTGGTGATAGTAAGCACCCTTGTGTGACTCCTGTGTTTACTCCAAACGCCTCGCTGAGTCTTCCGTTGTGGATCACTTGGCAGGTGCCGTTGTCGAACAGCTGTTGAATAAGGTTGATGAATATATGGTGTACGCAATAGTACTCGAGTAATTTCCAAATTACTCCACGATCAACGCCTGTTGAATGCCTTCTCAAAGTCTATAAAGTTGAGGTAGAGGTTTGATTGCCATTCCATGCTTTGTTCTGTGATGATGATGCGTAGAGTTGCAATTTGGTCAGTACATGATTTGCCTTCCTAAGTCCAGCTGGTTCCTGGCTGGCGGAGTTCTGTATCCAGTGCGTTCTTTAATCTCTCCAGGATGATGCGACTCAGGATTTTACTTGGCGTCGATAGGAGCATGATTCTTCGTCAGTTCTTACAGAGTCGAAAGTCGCCCTTCTTTGGTAGTTTCATGAGGTAACCTTTCCTCCAGTCAGTAGGCACCTTTCCCTCCTTCCTGACCCTTTGCAATAATGGAGTCAGCATGTCTGCTGTAGTCTTTGGCTCCTCCTTCAGTGAGTGCTTCAGGGGGTATTCCATCTGGTCCGGCTGTTTTTCCAGCTTTCAGAAGTTTGATTGCGTTCAAGACTTCAGCTCTCGTTGGAGGATTGGTGTTGACTTGCAGTTGTGTGCGCGCTGTTGTTGGTATTTCTGGACGGGTTGCAGGTGATGGTCGTAAATGTTTACATCCCCAATATTGGTCATGGGAAAAATAAGAATAAAGACTGATTCAACAACCAATCACACCAGACTTTGTGTAGGCGGATACAGTTTGCAGATACATAATCTGAACTTCAGGAAACGGCCACAAAAAGATGAAAGATTGACTTTCAGTGAGAAACCACCAATCAGAAGACTGTGTTTGTTTGCTTAGAGTTATATATAATAATGTACATGAAAATCTATAAATATGTGTTGATTTCGTAAATAAACGATCTGTTGCCTGGCCCTTGTCTTCTGTCGTTACACTAAGATAAATCAGCTGTTCAGTACTCCGCTAATCTCTGATGGATATTGGTTCTTAATGAAATTGACATAGTAATTAACATAATCCAAATTAAGCCGACCATGCATATGGTCCGGCGTTCGACCCCGCGCTTCCAAAGAAGAAGTGGGACCCCAAAAAACTAATACTGCCTCGGAAGAAAATTATTTATTATTATGTAAACATTGGTGACAATTAAATTTTATGAAATTAATCTTACCTGAAGTCAAATGACATATGTCGAAGGAAGAACGTTCCATTTTATTCGACATTCTTCTTCTGGGACATGCACACTGAAGTTCACTGTGAGAAAAAGATTAGTACTTTAGAAATACTAGTTCTGAACACAGATCTAATGAATGATTGTGCTGCATATATGAAAATAGGAAGAATCCTTTGCCTTAGTATTATGCAATCCGAAAATTTGCACATTAAAAATATTGTTATTGTTACCACTTTGACTTCATAATGAACATAAAGCTTCAACAACAGATCAACATTTCACCGTCTTTTCTCCAGGTTTCTTCAGCTAGCTCCCGGTGGTTGCGTACTGATGAGGAGTCCCAAACTAGGACGAAACAGCTGTCCAGTACTCCCAGGTTTTCCAGTGGTTCTCTAACTGATGTCAGCTCATGATTCAACCCTCCATGCAATCGAACAAAATCCCTACAAAATCCAATACTTGAAAATTCATCTGATGCTCACTAGTGACTGGTCCTATTCAGGTAGTTAACCTGGAGTTCTAGTGGGAAGCCGTGACCAGTAGGGTACAGCAGGTCGAAGATGAGGCAGTAACTCATCGAAGAAGACATTGTGAAGTGGTCGCGCTATGTCGTGAACTGGTAGAAGTTAGAATTCAAGGACCATTGGATCGGGTCCCAGTGGCTCAATGGTCTACGAGCTCGCCTTGTAACCAGAAGGTCCTGGGTTCGAATCCGGTGGGTGCGTACTGATAAGGAGTCCCAAACTAGGACGAAACAGCTGTCCAGTACTCCAGGTTTTCCAGTGGTTCTCTAACTGATTTCAGCTCATGATCCAATCCTCCATGCAATCGAACAAAATCCCTACAAAATCCAATACTTGAAAATAAAATAATCCTTTCCCGTTCAGGCTCCATTAGGCAGCCTGGTGCATGATGTTGGTCAACGGTCCCAACTATCTCTATTTCCTCTTGCATATATTTTGATGTAGTTGTGTTCTGTGAGTTGGATGGTGTTTTTTTTATATGCTAAGCTTTCATTGCCTCACCCACTAGGCAATACCTTCAGCGCATACTTAAATTTGTTGAAGTGAGCTTTTAGATTTCTCCACTAGCTCATTAGTCATCTATCCTGATGACTTGACCCTGAACCTGGTGATTGGTTGTTTTTGTGAATTCTCATACTCTATAGGCTACTTGTAGTGGTATTGATATTGATTGTTTTCTTGACTTGAACTCTGACCCTTTGTATGTGAAATTTCTCTCTTATCGATTGGTAAAATTTTGTCACTGTCAGTGTGTCTATTGATTGACAACAATTCACTAGAATAAAAGGCTTCTAAAAATTGCTTAGCATTCTTGGTGATTCCTCTGTCTAATATTTGAACGTTGGTTATCCCAGTCGAATTGATGTCCGTGGTTGTCTCTATGCAGCGATATAAGTGAGGGAGTGGATGTCATGTCTTTTGACAGCTAGTTTATTTTCATAGATGTGAAGATGAAGAGGACATCGTCCACTCTGGATAATGTAGTGTTTTCCACAGTCGTTGGAGCTTATTTTGTAGATGATTTTGGATTTATCGTCTTTCGCCGTTGAGCATTTTAGTTGACATGGAGCTGAGTGAATTGATTTTGTTGTTTTGTGTGAGATGCCAATTCCTAAAGTTTTGAAGAGTGTTGCAGTGATTTCTGAGATGTTGTCTTTTATATATTGTAGGGCGAATTTCTTTGTGCTTTCCTTGGGGATCTTTGATTTGATAGGTTGGCGTGGGGATAGATGTCTTCTGATGAAGTTCCGTGTACATCCATTCTATTGGAAGATGTCCTTGGGATATTTTTCTTCAAGTCCCTTGAAGTTGGGAGTGCTTCAGTGAGTCCTGGTCCTCTTGAATGCTGTTTGTATACAACTCCTTTTGTGAGTTATTGAACTGTTGCTGTTGGTAATTGATTCAGTATTTGATCTGTGTGGATTGATTTTCTATTAACTTGAGTTTCTAATTCCCCTGTAGTTGTTCGCTTGACTAAGACGTCCACTGAATCGTCAGTCTTCAGACACATAGACATACACAACAATGTCACACGCAAAAGGTCAAACTCTAGGTCAGGGAAACACTCAATACCAATACAAGTAGACTAAAGGGTGTGGAAACACGCAAAAACAATCGGTAATATTCAAGGTCAGGTCACCAGGAGAGATTATTAATAAACTCCTGGAGAAATGCAAAATCTCACCTCAACAAATTGAAGTATCCGTTGAAGATGTACTCTTATAGGGTAATGAAAGCTTCGCAAATAAATCACCATCCAGTTCAGAAAACACAACTTATATTATTATTATTATTGTATCCTTTAGTTCCTAGAGGAACATAGGACGTCAGCTGCGCACCTCCATTGCCTTCGGTTTTCTGACAACTTTTTCACCCTGCTCCAGGTCTGTCCACATGCTTTCATCTCCTCCTCGCATGACCTCCTCCAAGTCACCCTTGCACTGACGACCAACTCGCCGCCTCCCTTTCGGGTTCCACTCGAGGGCTTGTCTAGTGATGTCACTTGATGGTTTCCTCAGCGTATGGCCAATCCATCTCCATTTCTTTCTGCCTATTTGTTTCACAATCGGTTCCTGATTGATTCGCTCCCAGAGATCCCAGAAAACACAACTACATATCAAAATCATCCACCTGAGCTACAAATCTTCTCTATCATATCCATGATATCCTGCATACATGTTGTGCATCAGGTTCTTGCTTGGTTTGTTGTCACGCCTGTTTCTTGTTGTTCAGTTATCTTATCTGATGGTCTGATTTTCAGTATGAAGCGATGGCAACTATTGATGACGTAAACCTGTTAGAAATGCCTTAAGTCATGCGTCAAGTCTCTGAACCGTATAGAAATTTGAAATGTTCCATCTTGTTCTTCATTCTGAGTGCAGTTGATTTCCACAGTGGTTTTAGAGTAACGAATGCTTATCTTATTTTCCTGATCCTCACTGATTTTGACATCCTCATCTATGCTGTTCATGCTTCTAAAAAAAAGAACGATGTTGCCTAGACAAGTGAATGAAACGATTTTCTTCAAATTTCCCCAGTTGATGATTGTGACTGATGCTTGTTATTGTTACTGGGCGTCTTCATCATCACTGTCTTCTCTATGTTCTTTTGAATTCCTCTCCTCGCTGCCTACCTATTCTATCAAAGTGAAGGTATTCGCCTGTAGATCTTTTAGTTTATTTGACACATTAGACATAAGTCATCCTGAAAGTTCACATCTTCCATAGTCTTCTTGTCGCTCCAACGTATGTCTGTTCCCACGTTCTCCATGGTCTTTCGCATGATCCAGTCCACCACAATTAAGAGTAATACTAGGCAGCTTTGTTTTATTTTTGATTACAGCTTGATTCTACACTGTATTTTTGGTACAAGTATGGAATTTTCAGCGTGGATATCGGTAGCCCAAATTTTACAGGCCGACCATAGATATCAGGTGTGCGTCAGCGAGAGCTCGAACCCCGGACCATGTGCATGGTCGGCGAGAGTCCTAACCACTGTGCCACCGACGCACCTCAAATGGCTTCAGTGTGTTTTCAACTGTGAGTTACTTGGCAAATGCAAAATTCATAAGTAAAGGAAGCACAAAGAATATCCAAAAAATTCTTAGAAGTCTGGTAGTCAGATGGAACTCACGCCTGATGAATTTTTCAACATACAGATCAAGTTTTCCTTCCAATCAGTAGGTGGCATGAACAAAAGTTCAAGTGTGGTGAGAGCTGTCTGCCAGACACAATTGTAGACAACAATTTACATCAGTGTTTACGTCTTGAATCGGGATCATGAGAAAAAACAAACAATAGCAAAACTTAACCTTGCGGAACTCACCAACCATGCACAGCAGACTTATTGTGTGCAAATACGACTCGCCGAAACATGGCTCAACTTTTTGAGAAACGATAATAAGCAGTACAGAATGAATATCTAAAAGTTAACTAATCTCTGCTAACAACAACTCTAATAATAAAAATATACATAAAAAAGAACGAAATATTCCCATATTGAATCATAAGAAAAAGGCACAAACAGCGAAGAAAATTTTATTTTCGATGATTTATTTTCATAAGCTGTACAATCATAATTATAATTAACACAGGAAATTTTTGACCAATCAGATACTGGTAAACTTTGTCCTTGAAAATTCTACTACATAATGTGAGGTGTAAGAAGGGATGACTAATTGTAAGTTAGAAAGGAGACAGAAGTTGGCATGACCTAATAAGTGTGAGATAATGACTAATCAATAAGCTCAGCTCGTGTAGAATGGACAGGAACTAGTGGAAAGGCTATAAAGTAGTTTTGTATAGGATCTGTGTGAAAAAGCCATGTTATTAATAAACAGTCATAGAGTAGTAATAAAATGTGGATGGTGGGAATAGTAATAATAATAAAAGTATTAAGAACAGTAATAATAATAATAATAGTGAACTTGCATATTAAAAGAGAGGAGAAAAATTATAGTACGAAATTTACTCTGGCCATGGTAGGGCTAGAGAATGTATGTATCGTTTTTGTATGCATAGGTCCGGTTTTATGTCACGAATAGCTAATGCCTCAGCTATGTACAGATGTATATCCGGAGTCCTTTTGTACGATATTGAGGGACTCTGTGTACCACTGTGAAGCATTCGTGTGGGGGTGCTCGATGTCCGGAGATAACAAGGTGTTCGAGGATTGAGCTGTTGCTATTCTTCTTTTCTCCTCTGGCTAACCAAGCTGGGCAGTGTTCCAGGATACGTTTGTGGACTTGACGTTGCGTACGGCCGATATACTAAGCTCCACACGAGCAAGTGAATTGATAAATACACATTGAAGTGGCCAAAGGCGGTATCTTGTCCTTAACGTTAGACTGGATTAACTGTTTGCAGGAGAATGTTATGCGTAGAGTGGCTGTTGGGAATGTCTTCTTCAGACTTGGTCAAAAACTTATGTGTTTAATTATAATTACGATTGTACAGCTCATGAAAATGAATCTTCGAAAAGAAAATTTTCTTCGCTGTTTGTGCCTTTTCTTATGATACATAAAAATCTATAAAAAGTCTCTTGATTTTCTCAATAGGGGATCTGTTGCCTGGCTTTTGTCTGCTGTCGTTACACAAGTATCGAGTCAATGACAGGATCAGTACTAATAGAATACAATCCAAAGGAAACCGTAATTCACATCCAGGGTGACTAGGCAAGAAAATACGTCCTCGAGGAGCTCGCTTTACATTTAAAATGAATCTAGAGATGTCACCTCAAAAGACGACGAAAGCTTCAAAATGAAAGAATCCAGATCATAGAACACAATCACACAAAATACATCCAACTAGGCTAAAAATCTTTATTCCTTCACAGTTAAATTTCAGTAAGCCTTTCTGAAGTCCTTCTACATAAATCTGTATACGGAGGTCGAGTTATTCATTCACAAAAACAGGGAGATAAAGAATTCAAGTTAGAATTCAAGGACCATTGGATCGGGTCGCAGTGACTTAATGGTATACGAGCTCGCCTTGTAACCGGAAGGTCCTGGGTTCGAATCCCAGTGGGTGCGTACTGCTGAAGAGTCCCAGACTAGGACGAAACAGCTGTCCAGTACTCCCAGGTTTTCCAGTGGTTTTCTAACTAATGTCAGCTCATGATGAAATCCTGAAATTCAAAACTTGTTTAATACTCGTTAATATTTCAATACATCCTCCTCTACTTTCTTGTGATTACAATATTTAGACTTTATCCAACTGTTAACAAACAATTTAAATTATCCTCGCAAATAATTTGTCATTCATTTAAACAGATTTAAACAGAGGTTTTTTGATTTCAAATATTTTAACTGAATCGAATTGTAATAGAGGTTTTTTCATTCATTGGGAAATACAAAAAACCTCTATTATAATGAATATCATATACCCAATGCCCAAATTTTTTCAAACCGTTAAAAGTGAATCGAATTGTATTCAGTAGTCAATCCATATGAATAAGTGAACTCACCTTTGATAGTTGTTCATAGGATAATCGGTCTTATTCATAACACATATTCCTCCTGATCGCTGACATGCTGTACATAATGAGTTTCTATTGTCATTTATACGAGGTACTGAAATTAATAGAAGGTGTGAAACGATGAGCACAGAATATATATATATATATATATATATATATATATATATATATATATGAATATTCTAATAAGAGCCGATATGACAATTCACTGAGAAATACAAATCTCCAACTATTGGTTTTGTAGGGATTTTTCTTCATTGGTTGGAGGATTTCGTCATGGGCTGACATCAGTTAGAGAGCCATTGGAGAACCACCAGATAGTACTGGACAGCCAGCAGTTTCGTCCTAGTTTGCGACTCTTAATCAGTACGCACTCAACGTAGAACGTTCTGGTTACAAGACAAGCTAGCTCGTAGACCAGTCAGCACTGGGACCCGCCAATCCAATAGCCAGCCCATGAATTATAACTTCTACCAATTCCTGACATAGAGTGGCCGATTGTCAATGTCTTCTTCGATGAGTTACTGCCTCACCTTCAACCTGATGTACCCTACTGGTCACAGCTTCTCACTAGAACCCCTGTTTAACTGCCTGAATACGGCCAGTATTAGTTTTGTAGGAATTTTTTTGTTTGGTTAGGGGATTTCATCACGAGCTCGCCTTGTAGCCAGAAGGTCCTGAATTCGAACCCTGGTAGCGGGTGGGTACTGACGAAGAGTCCCAAACTAGGACGAAACAGCCGGCTGTCCAGTATTCCCTGGTGGCTTTCCAATAGTTCTTTAACTGATGTCAGCTCATGATGAAATCCTCCAACAAATGCAAATCTGCCGAATCTGTTGTACAAGTAGTTACTCTTGTGGCCCAGTTAGTCTAGTAGATAACTCGATAGCGTTTGAAACGATAGGCACTGGTTTCGAGTGTTAATAAGAATACTGTTGCTCACTTGGGATGACAAGCGCAAGTCGTAAACCAGACCAAATGCTCATCTTGGATTCCACTACTAGTTACTGAGTTATTCCCAGACATTGTCGAAATGTCTATCCTAGAGGCCGACGTGTCAATAGAGGCCAAACGACACAGCCCTTTCACCCTTTCATCCAGTAAAATCCTTGCCAAACACACCTAAGGAGTGCACTTTTAAACCCAGCATAGCCTGTAATAAGCCTGGTGAATAAGGGAAAGTTGGGTGTGAGGCTAACAACCCAATTCTTTAAAATAACAACGAGAATTCGAAGTTCAGGCTTCAACTCCCTATTGTTGACTGGGAACACGAAATAACGGGAAAAAATTGTAACCGGTTCAGTAAGATTCAGCAACATAGAGAGGTAATTTTTGCACTTTTTGAAGGATACTGTAACAAGTTCCGCAATTTACTAATCTCCTTACTCAAATATAATATGCAATATGTTTTAATTTCGAATCCCATTAGAATGCGACCTCTGTTGGCACTTTCTGTGACATTGGACGTTGAACTGCTTAGCTTCTTAGTTATTGTTTTTCTTAATCCCTTCGTTCTATCCTCTCTAGTCATAAAATAAACTATGACTTCAGTTTGTTTCTATGCTCATGCCGTTCACACCTCTCTTTGTTACGAAAACTCTTTTGGGATTACGCAACAAGTTTTTGCTTTTTTTTTAATTTCTCTACGTTTCCAGTAGAACATAGAGCGGCTTCAAGCTAGGGCTGTGAAATTTCGGTAACAGTGGTGTTTATTTTTACGGGATATGGTTGCTAGCCAGCCTCATGTCTAATCTTCCCCTTTATCAGCCTTATTGCTGGCTCAGAGAAGCAAAGCAGTGCGTCGTTGACTGGGGGTCGAAACCCAAACCATCGATGCCCACATTACTGTTATGTACTGCTGTTGATTGAGTTATTAGAGTTTTCCCCGTCGCCAATTATGTTATGTACTCGTCGAGTAGTTAATAATCCTGACGCGGAAAGAGGGAAATCAGAAGACGACCATCAGGTTCACGATGATATTTGTATCTTCCAGACAAGGAAAATAAATGTCACAAAAGTGTGTGAGTGAAATGGTACGCAATGTACGAAATGTGTGTACACAAGAATATATGAAAGCGTACAAAGCAAACAATTTAGAGACAGGTCATAAAATTGATGTTAACAGATCTTTTAAACCTATCTACAAAACGTGTTTGCGTATCCTAAAGTTTGTAGAAGCCCTAGCAATTAGAAAGTTCAAGCCACCTTTATGCGTTCAAAAACAATTTCATCACATTAAACCTTCCTTGTAAATTTTGTTTTGATACCATAGCAGATGTACTATTACCTCTGCTATTTGGTTTAGTGATCTTCATTTTATTTTTGACCTTGAATATGTCCTTTTAACTTGACCTAAGTCTATTTTTCTCACCTCTTACCTCTTTATTAATTTTTATATATTCCTATGACAAGTCCGTGTGTGATCAGATTGTTCGAAATGTGTTGCGCAAATACATTACACGATTCAGACAAAATACGTCTTCTTATTGCTTTATCTAAGAGTATATATGAAAATGATTAATGCACATGAACCAATAAGATAGCCAGTCTTAACATGATTGGTTGTAATGTCATGTGATAACAAGGTCATACACTGTTTATTTAGTTAGTGGACAGACAAAAGCATATTGTCAGTTATAATGAAATATCGGTCCATATACACATAGCAAAATATAATAGACTGTCAAAAACAAAACACACACATCATGTGGATACATATCAATTACTGACTTAGGCTAACCAGGCTAACAGCTCAGTTATCTACCTTGAGTAACTGAAATCATTTATCGTTCAGTTCTGAAACACACTTTGTGTTGTACAGAATTAGCAAGCAGTTAAACTTTGCAGAAATGATAATTATAAGAAGAAAAAACAGTCGAATTGACCATATGCAAAGCGAGATTGGAAATGACATCGTTCCAATTCATCCCCCAACATACTGCTCAAATAATTTGCAAAGACACTGAGTCCCTTCAACTGTACCTTACTTTTTAATCTTCTAGTGATGAAACACATAGAAACGTCCCTACGTAAAATCATTGTTTGGGAGGTGGAGCGATAAGCCTCCTCCTCAGTGATGTAGTGTTGAGTTTTATCTAAATTACTTCATGGGATAAACCATTCTTACCTCAGTTAAATTCTTATGTTCTAACAATCTAACTACCCCCGATCTACTAGTCTGACTTATGTAGTTGACCTCACTCACGGTCACTGCAAAGTATTTTGTGAATTATATTATTTTGTCTAATTGGGTCAATCGACAGGGTCCTTCAACCTACCTAGAGAGCTTGTCCTACCTGAGTGATTTCGCAGGTTTGACTGCCAACCTAATTCCTGTTTTATTGAGAATCCTGGGTAGGATTTGAGATGTCTACTTCTTATATGGTAAAACTGTACATGCCTTATGTTCTTTCTTGCTTATGTTATCATTATTCGTTTAACCGTTATTTTTATTTTGCTTTTGACGTTTTCTGATCTTCCTAATGAATTTTGGGGGATAATTATTTAACACCAACGCCTCTTCTATCTGTTTTATTTCATCATTTAGGTCTTTTCTTGTAGTAATTAGTGCTACTGCTCGGTATGTTAGACAGTTAACTAAGCCTACCTTAACAGCTGACGAGTCCCAAATAGGACGAAATGCGCATCCTGGATTCCACTGCTAGCCACCATCTACCAAATGTATACAAATCAAATCCCCAGACATCGTCGAAGCATCTGCACAAGAAGCCGACATGTCAACCTGAGACCGAGCACTTCGGTCCAATCAATCGACGGGAAAATCAAAAATTCAATTCGAGATGAATTAAAGTCTAAATGTCTAATAGCGTTGGCGTCTTATAAACTCTAGCATGCAGTTTATCCTCTACTGTTCAACGCTTGAGGATGACACCAACGGAAAGAGATTTCTTCTCTAAGGTTCTTGTTCTCTATTGAATAATGTGCTGACGGGTATTCTGCAGGATTTGATATACTTTACTTGACAGGACAATTTTGACGAGGGGTTACGGAATCGGTAGTGTGGTGATTGACAATTTCTATCTCTGTATTGTTTAAATACTTACTGTTGACTGTTGATATGTTTCTTATATGAATTGCATAATAATTCCGCTAAATACAAATTCCTGATTCTGCCCTCTCTGGTTTTGTTTGGATTCTTGTAATTCGGTCATCTCGAAATACTAATATTCAAGTACAATAAATTACTACAAATTGGCGTCGCGATGGAACTAAATAACCTGGGAAAATTCCTATAAATGCTCTCCGCGGGAGATTGCTGATTATTTGGAATGCTTCGATGCGTGGTGCATTTCAAAGAATGTTCGGGATGACAAAATACCAGCACATTTCATCACTGCTATTGGGCTTGATGCATATAGCCTAGTGAAGAATCTGGCGTTTCCAGATAAACCCATTTCTCTGCCATATGCTAAGCTCCGTGAACTTCTTATAGATCACTTCCATATAACTACTTTTGAGACAGAGAGAGGGCTCAGTTCAATAAACTGGTTCGTGCTCCCAACCAGAAGATTCGAGACTTTATTCTGCAACTCCAAATACAAGCTTCAAAGTGTAACTTTGGAGATCAGCTGCATACTCAACTACGTGATCGTCTAATTGCTGGAATCAATATTCCTAAGTTAGAGAAAGAGTTAATTCAGATTCCTTCTTGTACTTTTCAAACTGCTAAAGATGTATGTATTACATATGAAGATGTCAATAATGAATACTCTGCTCCCACTACGTCAGTATCTGATGTTATGCTTTCTAAAGTCGAAAATACAAGTGTTCATGGAAAGCAATCCAAACTGCCGTCCACAGGTAATAGAATGCAGCGAGAGATCAAAAACATTAAACCGTGTTTATCCTGTGGAAAGTTACATCTACGAAGCACTTGCCGTTTTCGGGGTGCTAAGTGTCACAAATGTGGTAAAGTTGGACACATCAAGACGGTTTGCAGAAGTTCGAATACTTATGTTGCTCAACATTCTTATAATTCTCCCAAGCTGTCTAGTAAAATGGAGTCAATGTGTCTTTCAACTTTTCAAAATACTCAAGCTAATCCAATGAAAACCTCCACTACAAGTTCAGCAA